CGCCCGCCATGAGCTCGGCGCAGCGAAGGCCGCCCAAGGGAGTGCTCAGCCTGGACATGCCCGCAGAAAGGCCCTGTAAGGGGCCGCCGGGGCCTGCGTGCTGCCGGGGTCTCCGTTTCCCCAAACGGGCTGTTTCTTGAGCCTGAGTCGTGCAGGGGTGCGGCGACACTGTCCATCCCCTCTGCTCTGGAAGCACTGTGACCCAGGGCTTTCCATACACACCCAGCTGTACAACTGATTTAATATGCTGAAAATACCATACGGAGTATTTGCAAGTGCTCTCAGCACTGATAACTTGTGCGAGGGAAGAGAAACTTTCTGTTTTTATCAGTTCACTGGCTCAAACTCCATAAACTTTAAGACAGGCATCTGAATGTGTGGTGGAGCCCATTAGCTTTGGGTTGATCCTCCTTTAACTTGTTTGAAATGCAGCTTTGAAGACAGAAGGAGAAAAGGATACAAGCACCAACTAAAACCCTGTAGGTGCTTCTGCACTCTTTCTTGTGTCCAAAGTGAAATGTGCATGTTAAAATGGGGCTGATCTCTGCTGTCTGTTATGCACTTTCAAACCCTGCCCCAGAGCACTCCTGTGCTACAGTAGGTAAGTACTGAAAAATGCTGGTCGTTCTAGAGAGTCACCCCAGATGTCGCAGATGCTGCAATTCAGCCTTTTTGTAGGACTGCCCCAAGAAGGGACTTCATCAGACAACATCTGGCTGTGTTCAGGTGCTCTCTATCATCGCAGTAGTGTGGATGCTGTCAAGTGCTCGAAAGTTGGTACATTTTCAAGTGGAGCTGGAAAGCGTTCCGTGCCTGGAAATATGTATCCTGTGTGCTTTTCTAATTCATTGCTTTGGCCTCAAACTGAACTGAAGCTGTGATGGGTCTGCCAAATACCTTGTGTTGCACTTTTTTCTAACATTATTTAGCCTTTCTTTCATTTTTTTTTTTATATATATATTTTGCTGGCGAATGAGCACCTCTGTAGCTAGTAATAGTATCTGGTGTTAAGCAGTAACATTGTACTGCTAGATATTTAGAAGTGATGTTTGGCCAAGTTACACCTGTGCAAGCTAAGTATATGGGGACTCTTGCCATGTTAACGAAGGCCATGTTTTTAGAGGGGAGTACTAGAAATGAGGTTCTGAGCTCCCAGCTCTGGCATATAGATGATTCAGTATATTGAAAATACTGTAACAAGTATTTTGAAGTGCACAAAGCACTGATGACCCATGTGAGGGAGGAAAATCTTTCTGTTCTTATCAGTTCACCAACTCAGCCTCTGAACTTTAAGAAGGGTGGCTGAATGTGTGGTGGAGCCCACGTTTTGGAATTGCTGGTATTGTGGTGCTTTACTGGGATCTTCCTGCACAGGTAGTAGTGTGAGTTCTTCCCACTTCTCATGTTCATCACGTCCCTTTCCACGCGTTGGTGCCTTGTGCAACAGTGCCTGGTCCACCAGACTTTCAAAACAGCTCCTTCCAGTTTCTTCATGATAACTATTCTGCCATCTTCAGCTCCCTGATTGTTCAGGGCTGTCCTGCAGTGCTTTAAATACTTTTTATCTGAGCAGAAGGGATGTGATTTCTTCAGTGGAGGCAACTCTCAATGTCAGTGTCTGCCAAACTCAAAGAAAAGAGCATTATGGAAGACCACGTGAATATCTCTAACTTTTAACTTATTTTTAAATCTTCATTACTAATTAAAACACAGTGGCTTTTCTGTGAAAGTTAAAAAAAAATTCTAAATACTGAAGTTCCCATAAATCTGAAAATTCAAAAGAGACTGATGCTTGGTCTAGTTAAGCTCCCACACCCTATCTGTGAAAGTTGATGTTCTCATGTTTAAGGTCCTGAAGTACAAGAAAGTTTCACGTGCATCTCTGCAGCAAGTTTGCAAGAATCTTGTCTATGTGCTATCTAAAGAGAGTCAAGAAATAAGTTTGATTTCTTAGTTCTCAGAGTTTATTTTTTAGACATTTCCAACACTAATTGGTGTCTGAATTTCCACTGGTATTTTCTTGAAGCAGAACTTTGTGATAAAATGCCCCATTAGTTATTCCAATGAAGGCTTGTCAATAAAGAATTAGGATGTTAAAAAAAAATGTTTTGATAAACTTTCATTGCCCTTAGCTTTCTCATTAACTGTGGAAATCAGTGGCCTTCCCTGTGATTTTGTTGCAGTGTAATGATACCTTCTGCATTCTATCAAGGAAGGTTAGTTATAACAAATGGAAATGGGAGGAGAGTTAATGAATTTTAGTTAAATGACTAAAAATGCAAAGGAAAAAGAGAAAGCTTGAAAAGATAGCTTTGAAAAGGTGGTGAGGAGTTGGAAGGATTAACTAATGAAACTGCCCGAGGAGATAAAGTATCAGAAAAGCTGTGCTTGCATCTCCACTGGCCTGTGTGTTCCTTGTCCTTGCACATCAAAGAAATATTTCAGGATGGCTCAGTTTGTGTTGGTGCCAAAACTTAACTAGTTTAGTTAATACATGAGTCTTTTATCATACATTGTCTTAAAACCTGATCGATTTACTTGGTTGTGCTTTGGAACTTCAGTGGTTTCTCAGCACCTATGTTTTCATTATATTTTATAAACATTTTTCCTTTCCCAGGAGAGCCAAAGTCTAAACAAATACTTGCAAAAAAACCCAGTATCCTTTCCTTTTTCTAGAACTTGCTTTTGATGTAAAAGTAGTTATATGGCATTTCTCTATTTGCTTAAAAAGAAACACGTTTTCTTTTGGAAAACTCTCCTATGTTTTCAACATACATAGGCAGAAACCTCATTTCTTCAAAGAACCAAAGTACTGCCCTGTTAAAACTTTAAATTTGAGCTGTGGTGAAAGCTTGCTAAGTGTTACATCTATGGGCTCGAGTAAAGATTCTTGAGTGCTGTGTCTATTGCAGGACAGGTGGCTATACCCCATGGAGCTTATATTGAGCTGGTTGCTCGTGTTTTATCTCTCTGTAGGAGTATTTTGTTTTCTTCTGGTTGTTCATTGCTGCCAAAAGTCTTCTGTGTACAGGAAGCATAAACTGTCCATGGTGACTTTTTTTTTCCTTAAATCTGGGACGATACTTGGACATGATTTAAAAAAATAATAACGAGACTTACCAAAGCCCAATCTAAAAACTAGCTGGGAGCTTTGAGGATGTTGTCTTGTTCTAAAGTGATGGAATTTTTTTGTTGTTTATTTTGTTTTGATTATTTATGTGAGATTAACTGAGCGAGAATAAATTTAATGGTTTCTTAGTTATGATTTGCTCAAGCAACACTCCTGTTCCTTCTTTCCTTCCCAGCGATATGCTCTGTTTGCACACTTTTGGTTAAGAAAGATGAAGTGAAACTGCTCTATCAGGTATTTGTTTGCCCCTCAAAGCAAGAGGGTAAAGACTTGGGGGTTGCCTGATTATGAGAGAACTTGTAGTATCAGCTTCAGGACCTGCATAAATCCATCAGCTTCAAGTCCTAGGTGCTTCCCTCTGCAAAGTGCTTTGGCACTTTCTTTTTTAAGAGGCATTATGATTATTTAGGTTTTGCAAAAGTGCTGTGAATAGCTTTTAAGATATAATAAACTGGTCATTTCTTGAAAAACTAACAAACTTTCATTTTGGAGTTGAAATGTTCTGATCTAGCTAATCTTCTGTCTCTGGAAAGCTAACTCTATGAAAGAAATGAGTGAGTTTTTCCCTCGTGTATGTGGTTGCTAGGCTAGCAAGATGTTCTCCTTTAAATGTTTCCAAGTGACTCATAGCAGCTTCATGACCTTGTACATGGAGGTAAAGGAGTATAAGTACCTTCAACATTGCACTGTACCGGAGTTTGCACCTGGTGACAGTGTCTAAAACTGAGTGAAAAGAAGTTTCTTTCCCTCTGCTCTAATTTTATGAGGACCTGGTGAAACTAACCTGTTTCTTGTTTTCCTTTTTGTTTTTTTTCAGGATGGCCCTCAGAGGAAAAAACGGAAGTCTGAAGTTACGGAAGTGGACAGACAGTTAGATATCCTAGCTATTGGCACAGCAGTTGGTAGCATTTTGTTGTATAGCACAGTAAAAGGAGAATTACAGAGCAAACTAGTAAGTAATGTATTCTATGTTGCATGCTGCCAAATAATGATTTCAGACAGTACATATTTTATCTGTTGCTTCAAACCTGTATAGAAGTAGTGTAAATATTCAAGTGGTTGGGAATCTTGGAATGGTGCTTCTTCTGTTGTTACTGACAAACATACACTGAGAATTCTGGGCTTTAAAATTAGTGTATAAATTTAACATTGTGCATAAATGCATTATTTTACTTCAGAAACAATAGTGTAGATGGAATTTATAGTTGGGCAGTTAAGTCCTAGCTGTGTGGATGATAAGTGTACATTAAGAAAAATCAAAGACTTTTAAAAAGCACGATGTGCCCATGTGACACTAGTTAACTTATATTAACTCATTTTATTGAAAAGCTGTGTTTGTACCTGAAAAGTATAAATGGTTCATGTTAAAATTTATGACTTCATTCAGTTTGTGAAAACACTGGCTGCTCTTCCATAACAGCAGGGTAGCAGGTGGTGTTTATTTATTTATTTATTTTTAGGGATAGTTGAAGTCAAAATATTGTTCCCACTGGAATAAGAGCAGTCACTCTTAGTCTTTTTTATTAAACAGAATACCTTGCTGTGATTTATTTTTGTCTTGCTCAATGCTGATTTGCAAAGATGATTTTTTGGGGAGAAGTCTGAGCTGGCTGGTACAGCTTCAAATCATGAAGTTTTATATGCTGCAGAACATATTTAGATAAAAGATAAAAGGGTATGTTAGTTATGTGCTGTGCATTCCTCTTCAAGTTGCCAGTGATTTGAATTTAGTTCCCCCAAGCTTGTTTAATATGTCGGTGTCTGGAAGACTCAGTTGTCAAGGCTTCTTCACTTGTTCATTAAAGATTTTTTTTTTTTTTTTTTTTACCTTTTGTTGGATGGTGGCCATGATAATAAAGTAAATTGTGTGAGGTGGCATCCAGAAAACTCTTTTTTATATAGCTGTTCAGAGGACAAACACATTGTGGAATGGAACACACAGACCTGCAAAGTGAAGTGGTGAGTGATGCCTGTAGTCAGTCAAATATGTTGGTGCTTTTTTTTTTTATTACTTCCTTCAGGGGTTTTGGTGAAGTCCTATTGGAAATGCTGCACTCTGTGATGCAGGCTTCATGCTACCAGCTGCTGGTGGCTCTGTTGCCAGAGTTCAAGACCGACTGTTGGTATTAAATTTCCAGGAACTTGGAAGTGGCTTTTTTAAGGGCTAAGAGTGTTTTCTCATAGTGTGATTTCTTTCTCTGTGTATTGAAAAGACGAGATGAAGTGAAACAGCTGATAGAAACTTGGGTCCCTCAATGCTAACTTCTAATGGAATGTAGGCTTCCAGTCACACATGTGACTGGACATCTTCTAGAAACTACCCTTGAAAGTGTGGGGGAACAGATACTAGAACGTCTTGTCCAACAAAGCTGAGTGCGTGTGACAGATTTAAGTGCCTTGCTGTGATGATACCTATTTGGTTTCGCTTTTTACTGATGTGCACTGCGGACATTTCCTCTTGGCTGTCTGAGCAGGCTGATGCTTTTAAAGCACCATTGGACAAAATGGAGTTTAGTGCAGGATAACCAAGTGTTTGGGATATTTATTTTCTTTGTAGTAAGGTAAAATCTTTTGAAACTCTAAAGAAGAAACTAAGATTTGTAAGAGTGGTCTTGGTGATCTCTACCTCAGTAAAATGCCTTGTATGTGGCACGTGAGTGTGGCATAGCACCATGACCTTGCACTTACGCTTGTTACTTTTTCTTTAACGTCTTCCACTCTTGTGTTGTTGTTGGAGCTGGTGCGGGCACTGCAGACAGCCCTCCGTTGATAGCCTCTTCCATTTTCCTTAGGAACGAGGTGCATACTTGGAGACCCTGACATAAAATAAGAGAAAATGGCCATAAGATCTGCCCTTAGCTTTCTTTTAGGATTGAGCAAACCCAACTGCCTCACTTCTTCCTCTTCTGTAATGTTATTTGATTAGTATGTCCTTAAGGAGTGACACTCCTAACTGGACACCAACTGAACTTCCTGTCAGGGACCAGAGCTATTTGAGCTCGATAATCCGGCCAATTTTCAGTAAACATGGAGTCTTATCCACTTAGTCAGTATACCTCTGATTTGGCCATGATGATACTGCGGGGGACTTTGTTGAAAGCCTTGCTAAAATCAAGCTAAATGACACACTCTCTCTTTGTCCACCAAGCCAATTGTTTCATTAAGAAGGCAAACAAGTTAATTCTTGGTAAAGCTATGCTGATTGTTCCAAGTCAACTTTTTTTCTTTCTCCTTCGTGGGCATGGAAATAGCTTCCAGGTGGATTTGCTGTATAATCATCCCTGTTGTTTCCTGGATTCCTGATTTCCTGTTCTTGCAGGTGTGAAATGCATTTTTTTTTTCAGTCATCTGAAATCTATCCAAACCTTCATGGCCACTGATGGCTATTCATGGCCATACAAAACTGGGTGGAGTGGCCGACACGCCAGAGAGCTGTGCTGCCATTCAGAGAGACCTAGACAGGATGGCAAGTTGGGCAGAGAGAACGTCATGAGGTTCAACAAGGACAAGTGCAGGGTCCAGCACCTGGGGAGGAATAACCTCAGGCACCAGTACAGATTAGGGGTTGACCTGCTGGAAAGTAGCTCCACGGAGAGGTATTTGGGAGTCCTGGTTGACAACAAGTTAACCATGAGTCAGCAATGTGCCCTCATGGCCAAGAAGGCCAATGGGATCCTGGCTGCATCGGGAGGAGCATTACCAGCAGGTCGAGGGAGGGGATCCTGCCCCTCTGCTCAGCTCTGGTGAGGCCGCACCTGGAGTATTGGGTGCAGGTCTGGACTTCCCAGTACAAGAAGGACATGGAGCTTCTAGAGAGGATCCAGCGTAGGGCCATGAAGATGATGAAGGGACTGGAGCATCTGTTGTCTGAGACTAAGCGAGCTGGGCCTGTTTAGCCCGCAGAAGAGAAGGCTGAGAGGGGATCTGATCAATATGTACAAGTACTTTAGAGGTGATTGTAGGGAGGATGGGCTAAACTCTTCTCGGTGATGGCTGGTGACAGGACAAGGGGGAATGGATATAAATTGAAACACAGGCTCTGGAGATCTTCCAAACTCGCCTGAATGCCACCCTGTACCATGTGCTCTAGGTGTCCCTGCTGGAGCAGGGGGGTTGGACTAGATGATCTCTGGAGGTTCCTTCCAACCTCAACCATTCTGTGATTCTGTGATCATGCAAAGCTGGTAGACTCAGAACCTGATAGCACTGACATCATCAGCACTTCTGGATACATCCCACTGAGTATCATGTGTGTATCAGATTTGCTTTAGTGGTCTCTAGCTTGATCATCCTTTACTGTGAGTAATGCTGTGTTCCCTCAGACTCAGTTGCTAAGCTCAGGATCACAGAAGGCCTCTTGGTGACCCTGCTATTCAGTGTTTTGCCCCCCCCTTTTTTTTTTTGGCCCCCATATTTCCGTGCTGGTTGGAATACCTGCTGAGATTTTGTTTTCCTATATCTCCTCTGTATGCCAGGGCAATGTTTTTATATTTCTCTCCATAGTCCATTGTCACTTTCACCTTCTCTCTATTTTTATTTATTTATTTATTTTCTGTGTGTGCTTGTGTGTTCGAGCTCAGTCAGGAATTATCCATTTGGCCAAACAACATCTGGTGACTTTCTGCACATCTGACTGGACATTTTTTGTGCCTTAAGGAGGTTATCCCAGAAGATAGCAAACTTTCCTGGGCCCCTTTATCCTTCAAATAGTCTCCAGCTGGATCCTGCCAACCAGTTCCCTGAACAAGTTGTTTGCTCCGCAGGGCTGTAATTCTCTTCATCTTGATTTTTCTCAGGATCTTAAATTCCATTGTCTTGTGCTTGTTATAGCTAAGTTGTCCTCAACTATCATATTGTGGCCAGCTCCCCCTTTCTAAGTGGCTGGTCAAGTAAAGCACCTTTTTTAGTCTGGTCATCAATCACTTGCATTAAGAAATTGTTGTCAATGTTTGCCATAAGTCTCCAGAATTGCTTGTGCTTCCCTGTGTGGCCCTTTTACCAGATGTTGGGTAATTAAAGTCAGAGCCTGGGACTGTGAAGCTTTATCTATTTATTTTTAATTGGGTGATAGGTAGCAGACCACCTCACCCTTGTCTGGTCTCTTCTGATCCTTACCAAAAAGTGCTCAACTGTTTTTCTTGCCTGTTTCAAAGCAAAGCTCTGCATTTGAACCACCCTACTGCGCAGAGGAGATCTCCTTGTCTTGCCAGCCTGTCCTTCCTAAAGAGGCTTCCCAAAAGTCAGCATTCGCATCTTGCAACCTATCCTGATGTTGTTGTGTGATTCCAGGGAGATGGAAGCACTGAAGTTACACATAGGCATCTAATTCCTCCTATTTGTTTCCTGTACTCTGTGTTTGTATGCAGGCACTTGAGATAGCCTCCCAACATGCTGATTTATCCTGATAATGTGAAAATCTTTCCTACCATGCTTTTTCTTGGGTTTTTCCCTCTGGCCCTTCAGAGTGGACTTTGGTTACTGTATTCAGAAAACAACAACAACAACAGAACAAAACAAAAAACTTCGCTTAATTCTGTCTCTGCTAGATTAGCAAGCCTGTTGGCAAACTTGCTTTTACCCCACTTTGCCCCTTAGAAAAGCCAAAGAAATGCCTGTGACACCAGCTGCTCAACCCCCTGTTGATGCACAGGGTGCATCTACTCCCACTGAAGTCTTTTCCATTGAATGAAGGAGAGCACCCCTCCTAGAAACTGCTGAAAGGTTGAATATAATGGCAACTCTTTTGTGACAGTACTTGGCTTCTATTGAACTATAGTAACTGCTAGGAAAATATTGATAAATATTCCTAGATTTGACATGGTAATTGAACATATAAAAGGAAATTCTAGTCCCGTTTCCTAATTTTGAAGAGGATGACAAAAAACATTACTAGAATATGTTAAAAAGTACACCAGCAATCTAGTGTAACGCTTTTACCTGAAAACTTTCCCATTTGATGTGTCTAAGGTTACCAAAATTGAAAAGAGTGGAATAATAATTCTCCCAAATTTAGCTGTGTTGACAAGAGCAGAAGGAACAAGGCGCTCAGCATAAATGTTTGTTTAGTGTACCTCAGATTATCTGTATACTTTTAGTACTTAGGAGTACCTGGAAAATGAATCCTTATGTGTCCCACAGGGAACTTGGAATGGTTGCCTTTGCGATGCAGAAGCGGTGTTAAGAGTTCTTTCAATTTATAAATTCCTAAGCATTTTTGAGCAGAGGTAAGGAATGCTAGATAAGGAATTGAAACCACGTGACTATAGATTTAACTCTTTCAATTACTATAGAAACAGTCCATAGAACTACTGTAGGAAATCTGCGGAGCACAGATGGAAGTCGCTGTTGGAGGTATGTGCTTTTGGGGAAGAGAGAGTTACTACAAAGGAGGAGGCAAGATGAGGTGTTGCAGAGTGGTAGTCTGCAAAGGGAAAGCAAACTCTTTCTTAGGTATCGTTTATTGCTAAGTATTTCTAAAACATATTGCTTTTCTGCAGGCTTGTACCCATGAAGGCATGATGCATTTAACTTTGAGCTATGACTTGTTCTGAAAGCTTTTTTAAGCACATCATTTGTTAAATGTAACTGATGAAAAAAATAGCTGTGAGTATGAGGATGGACTCTGTATCTCTGCTGGTTGCTATTTCAATAACATTTTGATAGGGTGCATGCCATGATGATTTTATTGCAGTAAAGTTCAGAAGCAGAAAAGCTGCCAGTTTCTGCAGCTGTCCTTGTTAGGAGTTGAAATGCATGTTGGTTGTTCTTTGAACCACGTTGGTTCTTTCAACTGAGGTGCTCCCCACCCTGTCTCATCCTTATGAATTATAGGCTGTTGTTTTTGTTTCTTTATTAACCTTTTCCACATCTCAAACATTCTGTGAGCACTCATCTGCTATGCTGCCTCTTGCTTCATGATGCCTTCTGTAATTTTTTTTCCGTAAAATTATATCAAGAATATCCTAAGCAAAAATTAAGATGTTTGCTGTGACTTGCATTCTTTAGATTGAGCAGTCTAATCTAGACGAACTTTTTTAACACATTTGCAACTAACTCCTTATGTTCACCTCGTTAAAGGGAGCTAGGTTAAAAGTTCTCTTAATCCTGTCCTCTTTGGAAGAGAATACAAAATTTTGTATTTTGTGCGAGATATAATGTTTGTGAAGTTCGTAGTCAGTAAAACTTGCAGCTTCTGTGCATCAACAATGGTCATACAATAATAGTGATACTTTGGAAGAAAGAAGAGAGCTGTTGCCCAAGCATGCACAAGTTGTATGAAAATGTTTTAGAGCAGCTATTTGCAGTCAGACTGTGATGTGTTGCAGAGTACTAAAAAAAAAAAAAAAAAAAAGCTTTAAGCTATTCTTGCAATTTAGTCCTGTGAAAATCATGCAGTACTTTTTTTAAGCAGATATAAGCATTTCATGACAGGATTTTTTTTTAATCAGTGCTTTGAACCATGGACTTCATAGACTGTTAGTGAGGCCAAGTTTATTGTCAGTGACAGACTGTGAAGCAAAACCAGGGATTTTAGTATTCAGAGGCATTCCTTCTAGATAAGGTGGTATATGTTCTTTGAATTAGAATGCAAAGAGAAGTCCTGAAGTGGTATAGCTCATGTTGCCCTATTTTGGGTAATAGAGAAGTTGGGGGAGAGGTTTGTATTAGAATCTTTCAGAGATTGGAGAAAATGCAAAAGTTAAAGAAATGTGAACAATGGTTCAGTATTTAAACATCTCTATTTTTGTCGAGTTTCCATATTATTATGTGTAAACTAATTTGAGGCAGGAGAGCAGAAACATAATACGTTTTACCTCATCTTCAACTTTTAGATTTTTTAAAATAAGTTTTCCTTTAAGTTTTTTAGCGTGGCTCACAGTTTTTTTTTAAATTAAAAATATGCTAATGATTTTTTTTCTCCGTCTTTTTCCCTTCGTGCAAAAATCTTCCGTCCAAATTCTAGCAAGTGGAAAGCAGACAACAGCAGTGTCAGCTCGCTATGTATCAGTCCAGACGGGAAGATGCTGCTTTCAGCTGGTAGAACTATAAAACTGTGGGACCTGGAGACCAAAGAAGTCTACAGAGTAAGTAACTTTGTTACACTAGATGTCACCAACAAAGATGGGTACGTTTTACATTATGTATCTAGTATTTGCTTATAGGACATCTGATATTTTTTTGGATGTGAAGAGACAATTGACAGCTTTGGGACTGTTGGAAGTTGTTGCTGTGATGATACCTTCAAATGTGGTTTCAACTTGCTGACAGTTGAATGAGGACATTAAATTCCTTGGCTGTGTCTGAGCACACTACCAACAGCCTTTCTCAAACCTGTAGTGTAAAGTTAGTTGTGTGTGTTTTTTTTTTTTTTTTCCTCCTAACCTGTCTGTCCATCTTTCCATCTGTCTTTCCTTCACTGGGTCCCTTCCTGACGCTCTTCTCCCAGAGGATCAGTTCACCCCAGTATTAGCTTGCTATTGACAGAGGTTTGTGTCTCGGAGCACGCTGAGCTTTGTGATAAGCCTGTTTTAAATGATTGTGTTTCTTTGCTGAACTTCCCATAAGTTGTGTCCTCCTTAGTTTTACTTGCAAATGAGCGAGGCACCATGTTTTGACTGTTCTGTAAATGCAGCTGTGCTCTGTTACCTGCTGGTAGGTAGGAGGTAACTAGGCTTTGGATCTCTCCTGCTGCTTGCTGTGGGGTAAGCAAGTATTTACTTCAGGAGCCATATTGTTCTCTTGTTGGCATCTGGCAACTGGCCTGCATCCTGTGATGACCAAAAATGTGATTTGCAAAAGTAAAATTGAAGAACTGATTTTTTTTGAGAAGTAGGATGGATTGGTTTGAGCAACCATAGTAAGTCAGGAGACCTGTTTGCTCATCTTAACTGAAAATGAAAATGTGAATCTAGTTTCCTTGTAGAAAATGAAGCAAATTAAAAAGTGTTTTTTGACAGTAACAGCATTACAAGCACATGCAGTTTTATTTTCATGGGCTTAGCCCCATTAATTTTGACGTTTATTCCTTGTTTAACTTTTTCAATTCTGATAATTGTCAGGAGATTTAGAAAACCTTTCCTTGAAATATAGAAATGCAAAGAAATTGGCCTCTGAATACTTGACAAGGATGTCTCAAATTTTTTGTAAACTTATTGTAACACTTGGATCATTCCTAATATTCTTTATTAACTGATATTTTAATCTTTGCCATATGACTATTTGTGGCAATGTTTGAATTTTTCTTTTTCTGATAGCATTTCACAGGCCATGCTACATCAGTTTCATCATTAACGTTTACGACAGTGAAGCCTATGAATGAAAATACGCCCTTTGATGGAATTACAGGACTTTATTTCTTGTCTGGAGCTGTACATGACCGGTTACTGAGTGTATGGTACGTAAACTTTTCTTTTTCCTGTCTTTGTTTATAGTCAATACTGAGGATAGACTTTAGCAGGTATGTTCTGAATTCTGTGATGAAGCAGAAGAGGCACTCTGGAGACATGCAGTGATGATCTCATAAATTGTGGTTTTGCCTTACTGATTGCTGAGTGAAGACATGAATTTCCTTGGCTGTGTCTGAGCATGCTTCCAGTAGTCGCTGCTTAAATCACCATGCTGAGAACATACTATGCAATAGGCTTGCTTGTTCTTTGAACTTATTGAAGGATTTAGGCTCAAGTTTCTTCTTGTTTAATCTCATACGGGGTTACCTTGCACTTAGAATTAGAGCATTTAAGTCCTTAAAGCTGAGACCTCAGCTTAGTTAGAGCACAAGTCTCATCCTCATCTTTGGATGAGGTAAATACTACCTCAGTCATAGGCTTTAAATACTGTGCTTCTTCCCACATGCAGAGGGTGCTCTTTGTGCCATGGTAAATAATAATGTGTGCTCTTTGTGTCTCCAGGCAAATCAGATCAGATAGGAAAGAAAAGAATGCCGTGATGTCTTTCACAGTAACAGATGAACCAACTTTTATCGACCTGACTGTGTCAGAAGTCAAAGAAGAGGTAGGAGCAGTAGTTTATAGCTATGTTCAACAATATTGAATTGTCATCAGTTTCCTTTTACTGGGGGGCAAGAAAGCATTTTGGCTTACAGTGTTGATTTATGTTATGCAGAAATGAGATCTGAATGCTAGCTAGTTCAGGGGTTTGCAGATATTTGTTACATAGGCATTCATAAGTGATAGTTTGAAAGACTCATTTTGCAAAGCTATTAAGTACTTCTTTTTCCCCTCGGTAATTTTGCTTGTGATGGTAAAAAATAGTTGTTTCCTGTTCAGGACGAGTTAGTAATCAGAATTATTTTTTAGATCTTGGCATTAAAAGTCACAGAAAAATTATTCTTGAAATAGAGTTATGGTGCTGCTTTTTCTGATTTAGCATGACTTTGGCAGGGTAGCTGCATTTTGAGTAAAGTAGTCTCTACTGAGTTGTAAAGAGACATGCATTCCCCAAGTCTCCCAGTTTCATTAAGTAATACTTAAATGTCCATATGAAACTTATTTATAATCTATTTCAGCCTTTAAAACTTCCCCTGATGCCTCTAGATTCTTTAAAAAGCATAGTTTGAAATGCTGTCTTTATAAATGTTTCTAGTTCTGCCTCTTATTGCATATATTGCATATAAGAAGCTCTGCGGAGAGGGATTTGGGAGTGTCCTGGTTGACAACAAGTTAACCATGAGTCAGCAATGTGCCCTCATGGCCAAGAAGGCCAATGGGATCCTGGCTGTGTCGGGAGGAGTGTTGCCAGCAGGTCAAGGGAGGTGATCCTGCCCCTCTGCTCAGCTCTGGTGAGGCCGCATCTGGAGTATTGGGTGCAGTTCTGGGCTCCCCAGGACAAGAGGGACATGGAGCTTCTAGAGGGTCCAGCGGCAGGGCCATGAAGATGATGAAGGGACTGGAACATCTACTGTCTGAGGAAAGACTAAGCGAGCTGGGCCTAATTAGCCTGTAGAAGAGAAGGCTGAGAGGGGATGTGATCAACAAGTACAAGTACCTTAGGGGTGAATGTAGGGAGGATGGGGCCAAACTCTTCTCGGTGGTGGCCAGTGACAGGACGAGGGGTAATGGGTAAAAATTGAAACACAGGAAGTTCCACTTTCATATGAGGAAGAACGTCTTTCCTGTGAGGGTTACAGAGCCCTGGAACAGGCTGCCCAGAGAGGTTCTGGAGTCTCCTTCTCTGGAGATCTTCCAAACCCGCCTGGATGTGACCCTGTGCCACATGCTCTAGGTGTCCCTGCTGGAGCATGGGGGTTGGACTAGATGATCCCTAGAGGTCCCTTTCAACCTCAACCATTCTGTGATTTTGGAGACAGAGTATTCTGTGAGGTACCCTTTTCCTTTAATTGATAAGAGGACTTGTCTCAATTTCTTTCTTCTAAACATGTTTGCGGCCTCAGCCCCTTTGTGTGCACCAGTGCCTCTAGACATGTTGGGAGCCATATTTTAGAAACACTGCTGCTTATGCTCACACATCTCTGAGAGTTGTCAAACTGTCAACATGTTCATAATAATGACATACAATAAAAATACTGTTATATGAATTATCTTTTTATCTTGTAATATTTTTTCTAAACCTTTCTGGCCTTCCTTATGCTGTCTTTGGCCTTCCTGATAGACTGAGTTATATCTGTAGTGTGTTTAATTACTGAAAAAAAATCATAACCATGCAAACAAATCTTGATATCTTGCACTTACAGGAGGATTGTCCTTTGGTCTAATTAAAAGATTTTTTCTCACTTCTTTCAGCCTGTGAAGTTAGCAGTTGTGTGCAGAGATGGACAGTTGCATTTATTTGAACATATTTTAAATGGGTAAGTTAATATTAGTTCTGCGTGTGTATTTGGGAAGGGTTTGGGATTATTGTAAGGTATTGCTGGAACATTTAAGCTCCTGCATCTGCACAAAACTCAAGTTTCATTTCAGCTGGTCCTGTCTTAAGTTATGTGACACATATTGGGGGAAATGTGAATTCCTTGGGTATGTGATGCTAGGAAGGAATAGCTAACATGCAGAAGGAGAATTTGTGTTGGGGGCTGTGCTGTGCTTTGCTAGTAACTGTTGTTTTAGCCAAGGTTTTTGTCTCCTTATGTCTCCTCCAAACCATCTGTAAAAGACCGAAATTGGCTAAGTTTGCTGATGATTTGCTAATGAAAAGTGCTTAGATGTACATGATATTGGAATCTTTGAGGTAAACAGGTTGAATTTTTCCATTTCTTTCTTTTCTTTCTTTTTTTTTTTCCTCCCCTTACTCAGTTACTGTAAAAAACCCTTAACATCAAACTGCACTATCCAGATAGCAACGCCTGGAAACAACGAGGACTCCACTCCAAAACCTGTCCCTATTCTAGCAGCTGCATTTTGTACAGACAAACAGTCTCTGCTGCTTGTGTATGGCAACACCTTACAGCCCATCATAGAGAGAGTGGTAAGTAAAACATACCAGAGAGTTTGGGGACTTTTTGTAATATGGACTCCTTCCTACCCAGAGTGGGAAGGGACAAGGGCCTTTTGCCCTCAAGCTCTTTTGAGGGTGGTTTGTATTCTTTTTTTTCCTTTTTTCTTTTTTTTTTTTGCATTTGATATATATCTTGGCAATATTGTTGACTGAATCTTGCCATTTCATCAGTTACTGAATAGACTATTGCAAAGGCTTCTCGAAGCTTGTTTTAGTACAGGTTCAGTTTACCTGTGTGAGCCTCCTTGCAGAACACAGAGATGTGGTAACAAAAGGCAGCTGTGCAAAGCAGCTGGAGCGGGAAAAAAAAATACTTTCCGCTATATTTCTGGAGCTTTTTCTCTTTTTTCAGTAATTTAAAGAGTCACAGAGGTGAACTTCAAGTGTTAACTGTTTTTTTTCTTTTTCTCGTATAGTCTTTGAACACCGCTGAATCCCACGTATGTTTGATAAGGGATGTCCATAAAGTGTTGGCGCTTAAAACAGATGTGGCGGTAACAAAGGTGAGCTGTGTGTGAGATACAGTCTCATTGCTGCTTCTCTTTTACTTTGCCAGAAATCACTGGTTTCTCCAAAAATGAGGCTGGATTTCTGGATGGATGAATTCAGGGCTGCAGTAGTGCAGTATTAGCAGATGTCTGTAGCAAAGAGGGAGCTGTGTGTGAGGTGTGCATTGTGGTTGTGGTGTCATAGCATGCTCTGATGCATGGTTAGATGCTCGTAGCAAGTCCTGTTCCCAGCAGGCATGCTTAGATAGAGAGGATTCCCTCTGTCTCTTGCCTTCCATACGGCTCTAGATGAGTTCCTACTCTAGAGTTTATGTACAGCCTGTTTGGCCTTAACGGTTTGGGGTGAAGTTTGGGTGCCTTTGTTTTCTAATCTAAATAAAATGAAATAGAACCGTAAAGGTGATGTCATTTTGGCTCTTCCTTGAGTTGGCATTTGCATGTTCCTACTCACAGGGATATGGCACCGGAAAATGGGAGCTTGAAGTTTAAATGGCATCAGTGTCCACTGAGGCCACTGGCCACCATTTTCCCTCATGCAGGGTCCCCCAGGGGTTAAGAGGTAGGTCATGAAGTTCTTTATCAACAGGTGTGTGTATTCATGAGCATTGCTTTTGCACGTCCACATTTTCCTGTCCTCCTCTTGTTTCGCTGGTGATGGAATTGCTAGTAAGTGTTCCTAGGATGGGTCCTCGGGGCTGGAAAGGGGGAGCCCCTGCCGACAGGGTGCACGTTGCACCTCCGAATGCCGCTGCAGAGGTCTGCGTGGGCGGCATGTGCATGCTGACCCATGGGTTAGTGACGAGCTATGGCCCTTGGCCAGGTGGAGCTTTGTGGTAAACTCCTCTCTGCAGAGCCAGCTGGTAACAGAGCTGAAGTGCTTAGGAAGGTGTAGAAATGCCTTGGCATGCTGTGATGACCTCCAACTTGGTTTCGCTTTTTTGCTGAATACCAGTGAAGACACATTTCTCTTGGCTGTCTGAGCATGCCTTCTGAAGAGAAAGATGGTAGTAGTTTGTTGAACTAAGTAGGTAGTGTTTTAATGTCATTGCAGTTCTACAGTAAAGTTCTTGGACCACTGAATCAGATTGTTATTTATGAAATCTTTTTACCCAAAGCACCTGGATGTTGATATGCTCACTAGTAGTTAATATTTGTATCGCTTACTAGGTATCCAGCAGGACTCAAAGTTCAATGGGTTGGTAACTATGTCAATAAACAGCCTCCACAGAAGTGTTCTGGAAGAAGCGTAGTTCAGGGGTGCTCTAAGTTGTTGAATATACTACCATTAAAACTAAATCTTTGTATTATTTCAGATAGATCCCATTTTAGGGATTTTGCCATGCTTAATATAACTTAAGGTTGCTATGTTTGGTGTCAGAGTCATAGTTTAATTCGGGCTATAAGTTCTGCGTCTGAGCTCCCTCCAAAAGAAAATCAGTGCAATTGAAGTAGACGCTATCTGTCTCTTACTGCTACATTTTTTTCAGCTATTGATGAGTAGTTGTTACCTTTCAGTGGAAGGTGAATTAACCTGCCTGTCACTTATGGGCTTGATGGTTGGTGTGTGTGGTGTCTGTTGCTAGCGATGACCCACATATTCATTGTTGGGAACAAGCACTGTTCAATGAGGGCTCTGAAATAAGCTTGAAAATAAAATGATTCAAAGTGATTCCATAGGCTCTGTACTGCTAGTTACAAAAATTAGCTGACTATTGTTTGAAGTTATACATGGTTCTTAAAAATAGAGGATTTTCCTATTGTATAGCTTAAGAAAATCTGTTTTTACTTGTGTGTGAATCTTAGAATAAAATTGTTGCTTTAAACTCAAAAGAAAGGCCAAGATAGTAGCAATTCATCCATATGTGGTCATCTCTCTCTTTCTGCTAGATCAAGACGCCTGTTGTGAACACAGACACCAAGGTTCTACTGCCTGGAATTCCGGGACATAGTGCATCCATCAAAACTCCACTCTCAGGAAAGGAGAAAAATAAAAGCAAAAGGAAACCAGGAGACACAGAGGTGAAGTACTTAAAAACATTCCTCTCTATATATTTATTTTTGTAATAGAGCAGTAATGGAGAAACCAGAATCCTGTTGTAATTACAGTTAGTTTAGGTAAATTCTAATCTTTGATGTGGAGGCAAAATTAATATTGTCATTTCTTTGTGTGAATGAGACTTCCTGTAGTCAAAATCTTTTCTCTTCTGCAAGCCCTGTGCACACTGTCCGTAGTTTTGCTGTGCTGCTGCAGGACTCCTCACTGACTTCTGTCTGTCTCCCGCTGCCGAGCTGTACTGGTACTTCTCAGTCAAGACTGCATCTATCCTACTTCCTCTGACTTTTCTCTCTCAGAACATTTAAAGGATATGTAGACTGTGCTATTTCCTAGCAGAGTAGGAGGGAACGATGTAGAAGGCTAGATGCTTTCCTTTCTGCTTATGTTTCTGAGAAACTGCTGAACAACTGAAACAATAATGAAACAACACTGTCCCTTTTTATTGTCTGCAGGAAAGCATTGAAGACCGCCTGGGGGCACTGGATATTGATGTGAGCAAAGTAAAAACTCCAGGTGGCCTTCCACAAACTGATAGCTTCGCCGTACTTTTAGTGCAGGGCTTGGAAAGCAACGATTCAGACATTTTAAATGTAAGTGTTATATTTATATGGCGCTTAATCTGTTTGCCAAGACTTGCAGGGAGCCTTCCTGAAAATTGAAGACCTTGAACCATCAATATCCTGTTGTTCCTCCTGCTGCTTTTTGCCAGTCTGCTCCTTGAGGCCCTGATTTATAAATGATAGTGATGGTATGACTTTTTTGTTTCCTGTTAACCTATTTTGCTTTGAAAGTTAGTCTGTGAACTTTGAGGCATATCTGCTTCTGATAAACTTTTATCAAGTTTGCTTTTGTACAAGTGATTTACTAATGCAATGGTCTTCTCTTCAGTCTGAACAAGAGCATAATTTGTGCTTGGACCTGACCACCATTGAGTAGATGCTGTTTGAAAAAATGTATTGATGGCAAAAGCTACACGTGGTAATCCCACTTACTGCACTTGGACTAGTGGGGCCAATAAGCTAAATCTTTTAGGAATTTGATTCTGAAATTACCTGCTGCAAGTACTGGTCAAAGGCATTTCTTTACAGAAATGAAGCAGAGAAAATGACAAGAGAATTTTTCCTTAGTTTATCTTTATTGCTTTGTTTTTAAAGCAGGGTGGTTATACCAAGGTAGTGGTAATTTTTTTAAATGGCTTAAGTCAATCAAATGGTTTATTTTGTTAGCTAGAGCTGACTAGAAAAAAATGTTGTTTTCATCGTTAATCTTAATATATTTACCTTCATTTGAAGATAGTGAAGAAGAAGGAAATATAAATTCAAGTGTTCTTTATTGTGCTCAAACACAAGTTGAAGCTGAATGATTCTCAGATTATGCTTTTCCGTTTTAACAGAAAGTGCTTACCACAAGAAAGGAAACTTTAATAAAAAACACTGTAGCCAGAATGCCTATACATGCTGTCATTCCACTGCTGCATGAGGTAGGAGAGACTGCATTTTTTTGTACTGTCAGACAAATCATTTCTGTCTTTTGTTCAAGTTGGGGGAATTCCGTGATACATCTTTTGATTTTTAGCAATAAAATTGGATGATAATTGTACAGTTGAGAATTTTTAATTTATCTCTGATGCTCTCATCTTATCTGGCTAACCCTTGACCAAGGGAAAGGTGCTACTGTCAGTGAAGAAGAACATCAGGTGTTACAGGACCTTAGTAATTTGGAAAAAGAAGAGAAAAAGTTTCTTTAGTTAATGGCAAATTACTACAGTTGCATCTTTTTTAAAACTATTTAAGTAGGTGATGAAAATTATCAGTGAGGAGTGCCAGCCTGATCCAGGTAAATGAGCATTAATTCCTTAAATATGCAAGACACTTGCATAAGAGAATAATAGGATTCACATTTAGAGAGAAATGAGTTTAGATAGCATTTGGAAATTCAGGAGCAATTTCCATGGAGTGTCTCACTTTCAAAGGTATCTCAGAACCACAGCTGCTTCTGAGATGTTTGGGTTCTTCAACATCATTTGGGAATCATTTTTAAATGGGATTTAGCTTTTAAGCTGCTTATTCAGTGGAATAAATAAAATTGTATTTGAACAGAAATATTGTAATGCTTAGCCTTTTTATTTATTTATTTATTTTTAATTTCTGTATTTAAACTGAAAGTCTTATTAGTTGCTCTTATGTGAATCACTCTCTGTAACATAAACTTAATGGTCAGATTTTTCTCCTGTGTTTTGATGTGCTGGTTATTTCAGTTATGACAGTCATCTTAACTGAGATTTGCCTGTTGTACCTTTTTGAGTGTTAGCCTGGCATTAGGCATGTGTCCTGACTCCTGCTTAGACTTCCATTAACGGAGTACAGCATTTCTCTGGCAGGACCTGTGTGAGGGAGTCTGAGTTCAATATAATCTTAGTGATAGAGAGATCATCATGTAACTGCCTTGCCAGATCTTGGGATTTGTTCTATAAAATATCCCTTACCTGATAATAACTACACTTACCGACCTGTCAGCTTTGTAGTGACTGCTCTGCTAGGCAGATATATAGGACAACATACACAAAAATCACAAAAGGATTTTGTTCTAGTTATTCCTGCCAGCTTGAGTTCCAGTTTTATTGTAATAATGAGACTAAACTTCTGCAGGTCATCAGCCTGCCTGTAGGACGGAATAACCAACAATATAAGACTGGAGTCAGGCAGTGGTTAATTCTAGCAAACTTGAAATGGATGGAGACTTTTCTGCTCCAGTATCGGGGTGTTGCATGGATGGATCATAAGTGTTGCAATGTTAGATCATAAAGTCATTGCACTGCTATTGCTTGGTTACTGACTTTTATTTTTGCTCCCTTTAGCTTACAAAGAGATTGCAAGGCAACCCATACAGGTAAGTGTTAAGTTCCCCATGACTTAATTTATTTCAAAATATTTCAGTGTGGCAGCTTTGGTCCCTCCCTCTAGCTGTTGGTTGGTTTCTGTAATAGCTGTAATTAAACTGTAGCATCATGAAGTAAAAAAATCTGACCTGATTGTAAGTGCTAAGATCTTATATCAAGACAGTGTTTTGTCAAACTGAATGAATTGAAATTATAAAGAGAAAAGGATGTTTGAATTGGGCATCTACCCCTGAGAAACTACCTGCAGTCCTGGGATGTTGACAGTTCAGAACTGATGAGCATATAAAATAAAATGATTATCAGATGTATAGCTTGTTCAGATTACTTATAAACCAGATACCTTTAGACACCCCCTGATGTTTTGTCTAGAAACAAACAAAATTCCTTAGTCTTGTTATATTGCTATCAGGATTGCTTTGATGAGGAAAGATAATCTTCCCTGTTCTTAATTGGTAAAGGAGATTTCCCTCATTGTAGGTGGAAAAGAATATCATGCTTTGATCTTTCATTCATCTGCATCTTCTGTGAAAGACTTTGGAAGCACAGAACACTGAGCATGCCTGAATTTACTTCTTTATTTAAATGTCTTGTCTTTTCCTAAAAATAACTTACGTAGGTATCTCATCTGTTTAACCAAACTTTTATATTTCCATCTGTGTTTATCTTTTTGTGTAATGAAAGTGAAGCACTCTTACTAGAACTGCTTTAGCATCTAGAAGATTAACTGGGTGTCTGTCAATCAGAATGTCTTGGGTTTGATTTTTCTTTTCCAGTGCCTCACAAATGGTTCGATGGCTGAAGTGTGTTTTTACTCTACATGCATCCTACCTTTCCACAGTAAGTACCATGCTGAAGGTTAGCAGGTGTAAATAAAACTAGATTTAAACATCTAAATATATTTATGTTCTTTCTCCAGCAATCTGTCTCCTGCTATCCACATATAGCAATGCCCAAATGAAATTGTAAAGTGGCTGTACATCTGCCTCTTTGCCATATTGCCCCATGTTTGCTAGAAAATGTCTTAGTCATTTGCAACATAATTATAGTCATCCCAGAATCAAACCAAAATAAATTTGGTCATACCGGTGAAAGTTAAGGGACAAAGTGTCAAAAGTAATCTAGCCTGTGTTGTTAAATCTTCTGGAACTAAATTTGTTGTGCTGATGTAAATTGTATTAGCACTTAGCTTCAAATCATTCCTTAACAAGTGATGGATAAACTTATGCTTACTCTGTTGAAAAGTAGCCTCTGGGTACAGTTAGTTCTTCCTGTTCTTGCGGACCCTGTTCTTGGAGATTTGATCAAAACTCGTACATGTTGCTGCTCCTACATTCACAAGTGGCATACGTTCAGTTCCCATTTATATAGCTGTATGTTTGCATCCGCCTGTATTAATGACAGAGGAAAAGAAAAACAGTAAAAGTAGATTTGCCATGTTCTGAAAACAAATGATCCTTCTGCACACAGCTAAATATAAATTGATTAAGCTGAAGGTAGTGTTGGTGATGAACTCTTTGCTCCCCTTCTTTGCTAGAATTATATGAGCAAGTATTGTTTGGCCAAAACTTTAAAACTCTGGTGTGAAAATTTAAAAAATATGACATTTGGGTACTGGCCCACAGCTTCATGTTTCTTCATCCTTTCTCCCAAGTTGCCGGACCTTATTCCCCAGCTGGGAATGTTATACCAATTAATGGAGAGCAGAGTAAAAACTTTGCAAAAGCTTTCTCGTCTGCACGGAAGACTCTTCCTTCTCATCACCCAGGTAAGTTCCAGCTAAATGACATGGGATGTGCAGAAGAAATAGTCTGTGCAGACTTAGAGCTCTGTTGTGATGGCTTTTAATGGGACCTGTTGTTAGGAACTTAGGGCAACTGTTATACAGTCTTACTACTAATGCTGAAAGTAGTACAGCATGAATCATAGCATTGTTAAGGTTGGAAAGGACCTCTAGAGATCATCTAGTCCAACCCCCCTGCACACGGATTAACTGTATAATTGCTACTGATAGTATTTTTCACTATGTGAGGTTTTTTGCTTGTTTGTTTTCCATAAACATTCCAAAAAAAAATGCTGCATATTTTTTTCCTGCCCAATATGTCTGCTAACACTTAACTTTTTAAAAAGAGGAATATACATAAGAATTACGGAGCCACTTCAGAGCAAATATCTCTGCGTCTTTATGTCCTTCTTACATATTTGGCTGTTAGACTCCCATAATAAATGAGTGAATATATGTGAAACTTGATGTGAACTTCATTTATGTTGTTTTGAGTTTTATTGACTTTTAAGGTTGGAATACATGATTGCATCTAAGGCTAATGTGCAAATTCCATTCAGGTTGCAGCATCGGAAGCAGTTCAGGATGTTACTGAGGTTAATCAGACTGCAAAGCTGGTATACGAGGATGGTGAGTTTTATATCCTAGCTGTAGCTCTTGAATTTGCATAACAGCTGATGTTTGGTGATTGTTGATGTTCTAGTGCTTATCTAGTAGCAGACAATCTATGGTAAAGAATTTTTGTTGGAAATTCATGGCAAGTAAGTAAGTGGTAAGTGATGGAGACATTTTACAGTTGATTGTTCCTTCCTCTCCTCTTTTTCCCTTTCACTCCCTTCCATTTCTGCTGTGCAAATCAAGGTATCAGTTAATTGGAGTCTAGTCTAAACTGACAAAACTCTATTTTTATACCTCAAATTTCTCGTACTAACTGCTGTTTTACTAAGGTAGATTAATTCACAGAGCTTTCACATGTTTGAGTCAGCAGAACTTCAAGGTAGTAGTATTAGTGCGTGTGCAGGCACACTTCCAGTTTGGACATTTTGTCTTCTGTAACTTCACACAGAAATAATTAATACGTGATTCGTTTTGATCAAGATAGTCTTCAGCGGTCATTAGTTTTGGAGTTTAAACAGCACAGTTGGAGGAGGTCTAGCAACATGTGGGACTGGGTTTTGTTTGAACAAAGACATTTTAAAGTTTGTCTGCTCTCCAGGCTAAAAGATTGTTTTCTTGTTGTAGAATCCTCAGAGGAAGGGTCTGATGATGAGATGATTGCGGATAAAGATTCAGATGTAAGTCGAGTTGGAGTAGATCTTTTTCTTTTTGGAACAATAGTTGTGCTAGTGTCAAGGGTTCAAACATTCCTGTTTATTTTTCTCCAGGAAAACTGGGATGAAGATGATGAAAAAGAGGAGCAATCAGATGAACAAGACATGGTTGTTGAAAAGGAAATCAATGGTGATTCTGATTTGGAACCAGAAAATGAAAGTGAAGAAGAATAACAGAAAAAAAAAAAAAGGAAAAGAATAAACAGGTTAAAGAAGCAGGCCACCAGAACTCTAATTCTGGATCATCTTGTTGAAAGATGCATAGTTGCATATAGGGAGTGCAGACTCATGCACAGCCTGTGTGCAGAGGCACATGTGGGACACTGTGCGTTTCTGAATCCAGAATGTTTAACCACGCCAGCCTTCTCTCGCCCTATTTCCCTGTGCTTACTATAAAAACATTTCTTCCACCTCATGGTCAGATTATGCCTGTCATGTGGACATGCATTTGTATCTCAATTGAAATAAATCTGCCACCGCTGTTTGTGTGGTAACCTTGGTTCAGCTTTACATTGAATTTGTTTCAAATATTCAAGGATCAAAGACAACCAGTCTATACTTCTTTTCATGCTTCAGTTAGCAATAGCAAGTGGGCATCCTGCTGCATTTTTTCAAAAAAAAAAAAAAAAAGTATTTTTGTAATATTTAAATTCGCTATGAATTTCCTTTTCTTCCCCCCATCCTTCATCGGTTCAGCCATGCCGTGGCAATATGTAAATGCAAGCCTGGCTTAAAAATGGCTTTTTCTTTTTTAACAAATTTGAACTCAAGACTTTTATATGTGTAAATCAATGACTTTTCTTGTGCTTCAAAAGGACATTAGAACTATCACTGGTTCCTAATTTGTTTTAATTGAGGTTGTATATAAGTTTAATGCTAACCCAGAGAACAGACTGTGTTGAATTGGGTGGGAAAAGGGGAGTAAAGAAGCAGGGAAATGAGAAGGCGAATGCTTGTGAATATATAGCGCACAGCTGTACGTTTATTACCGATTTTTAATCTCTCAGTGGCAGAGCAAGGATAGCTATTTGCTCAGCTAATGGAAGCTGAAGTGGTATAAACACATTTTTAAGAGCAAAATACGGTAAAGGTTTGAGCCATTCACCAGTATAATGTACAATATATTTGTCTATAAATGGAGCTGTTGCAACTAGATACTGCCCTCTTTGTAAAGTGAATAAATATACATCTCCTTTACCAAATACCTGTACTGTGGTGTTTGTTGAGAGAGACCACAGGTGGCTGTTAACAATGAAATATACAAACCAGTGCAAGAGAAATCCAATCTGAAAGGTTACTGTCTTGTGAAAAACATCCATTATTCTTGGTTTTGTGGCTCCTGATGTTCCCAGTTTTATCTGCTAGTTTGTTCACAGCTGTGGGTTTGAAATGTTATCTGGATTTGTATTACTGACAGACTGGAAGAGATGTGTTTTGCCTTCAGAGATTAAGGGAAGGGAGGCTGCAGTAGAGGCTTCCAGTCTCTGGGATGTTTTAATTCACAGGGAATTAGTGTCTTTAGTTTGTAAATGTGGGCCGTTATGTCATTACTGAGATACTGTGAAAGTAAATGCACTTGTGCACAGTTTGTACTCATGCAAGTTACACGATTAAGCTAAACTGATATGTTTTTAAACAGTACTGATATTTCCTATGTACAGTGTAGATTTGAGGAATTCTCATTCATGAATTGGATAGAGATTCTGTGAATCCAGCTGAAGATTGCACAGCAAGCTGGTAGCAGGGGGTTCCACTTCAGGCCTCCACAACAGTGTAACGACAGCCAGGTTGCTCTGTCCTCTGAGGCCTTTGCTTGCACCATCCTTGAGCAGCTATCCTGGGTGAAACTATTTGGAAATGGCAACTGCAAGCAGTGCTGTTCAAAAAATGGCCTAAGAGTAAACCTAGGCCTATAGGCACAAAAGGCCTAGGCACAAAAACCTAGGCCTGTAACTGGCGCTTTCATGGCCTTTCTAATCCCTCAGCTCTCTAAAAAGCCTAAATTTTGGCCAGCTGATGACCTGTCATGTTTTCTCTTTCCAAAACTCTGTAATCTGGAGAAAGCATACTGGAAGAGGGTAGCGGTACCTTACTAGCCGGTAATTCCTTGCATTCCTAATCCTGCTACTTTTAGCGCAATCCAGAGAGTGAGGAAGATAGATCATAAGTGCTCCAGCGTGGTGGAGTTATCCAAGGTTCCAGAGCAAGCCTTGTTGCTTAAACAATCCATGAGCCTGTGAAATGGAAACTTCTGAGGTGTGTTTTTGTTTCTGTTAGTCTAGTGTTATGTCCTGTTCATAAGTAGCAAGGAGATGTTTATTCAAGTGCAACTGCACACCTTGAGGATCTTTTGTTTGATGCTTCTTATGGGACAGCTGTAATTCTGGTCTTCAGATAAGTGAACTTTGAAAGGCTGTAGGGAGCAATGCCACAGATGGCCAGGAGATGTCACACCTGCTGCAGAGAAACATCAGTTCGTGGGCAGCAACAGCAATCAGTGAAATGTGCTTTTGTGGCTGGCATAATCTTACTGTTGCTAAAGGTGTCCAATTGTAAGGCAGTGTCACTGTTTGTCATCTGCTGTTACAGTTCTTCTGAAGGACCTTGATGCAAGACCTTGCTTGTTGCCTCTCTTGCTAAATATTTCAGTCTTCATAGGGGAGTAAGAACTGCCCATGTGGGATGTGTAAGGTTCCACTCTTTGCATACTGGATATATGGATGTTTTGTTCTCAGATTCCTGAATCTGGTAAGGGGAGCTACCAATTTCTTTAAAAAGCCTCATGCTTCTTTTGATTCATCCTTTGTTTATTTAGTTTTGCTTTTCTGTCAAAATTCAGTTTGTCAAGGGCATTGGTCTAAGAAGAGGCAAAACCAAAAGCAAAACATGTACTGCTTGAGAAAGGTTAGAGGAAGAGAATATGGAAAAGGAGAAGGGGAAAGATTTAGGTTATACAGCTAGTCCCTGGAACATTCCTTATTCCTGGGAACTGTAGCCTAATAGCCAAGTTCTACTTTAGGCCATTCTGTGATTAAACGGAAGCTTGGCACAATCACAGTATTTGGCCTTTTGGCAAGGGAGGGACCTGTACTGTAGTACAGGAAAACTGCTTGCTCTCTGCACAGTTTCTTTAGTTCCCCAGAGATCTAGTCTTGTTTTATGGTTTACTTGTGGCCTGTGGGATGTTGGTTCCCTGCTCCCTTCAAGAAAGCTGCTGGAGCCATGACTGGGGCAACTCCTTGTTTCCTTGCGGGTGTGGGATATTGATAACCCAATCAGGAGATTCTCTGTGCCCCGGTCTGCAGGAGAGCCGGATACTTCCTGCATTACCTTAGGGTGGGCAACTTTTCTCCCAAGAAATGGATGATTAATACTGAAAGAAAAAGTTATTCCTGCCTTCCTACTGTGCTAAAAGTGAGTGGCTGCTACCTCACCCGACTGCTGCGTGGTCGTACGCTTGCAGCGTGCAGCGTTTGGTGTTGGCTTTGCTACCTCCCCACAGAGTGCAGGTTCCTCTCTGTGACCAGGTGTGTGGGGCACCCCACGTCACACCAAGTGTTGCTGGGAGTTGGAGATGAGCTAGTAAAGTAAGCAGTGTGTGATGTTAAGTTACGGTGTCTGAATGATTTCAGTCTTAGGTTGTGACAACTGAGATGTTTTTCAGCTCATTTAAAGGTTTACGTGGGCATGCTTAAACAGGAGAGGGAGGAAAGTCAACTTCCTGTTAAGGTCGCAGAACAGTGTGGGATCAACTTCCTGTTTAGTTAGGGTCGCACAGAAACAGTGCAGGAAACCACTGTGCTCAAGAGGAGGAAATAACTTGCCAAAATGTATTTGGTTGTTGCCAGTATGATTGTTTTTGATTCGACTGTTGCTCAAAGCATATTTTTTTGAGAGTCCTTTCTGCAAAACCAAGAAGGTCATAGAGAAAATCCTTCTGTTTGGAAGAGAGGCTGGATCCGTGCATGAGGAGAAGCCCCAGCACATTCACCTTTGCTTCCGTTCTGGCAGCAAAATGTGGCATTGCTCAGCAAGAAGGTATGACAGATAAACAAGACCTCTGTAAGTGGGTCTCATGTCGTCTAGGAGAGGAAGTGAAGTCATGGTCAGACCTGGAGTCTATCCAAAGCTTTCTCTATCACAGATATGGGGGCAACCAATTTATTGAAAATACCTTGGTTTGGTAGTAAGCAGTATAATTAATAGTGCATATGGCTAGAATTAGTAGGAATTAATAGAGCATTTCACCCTTGAGGCAAAACTTACTCCCCTGGGCTCCGTGGGGCTTAGAGAAAGGGGTTCTCTGCAAGTTCCACCCACTGCAGTTACTCCATGCTCACGCTTATATCACCCTCCCTTAATTTCTCTGAATTGAAGGACCATTTGATTAGCGAGTCCTTGCCTGTTGGTTTTATTACAGACTTCCCAAAGCTCCTTCAATAAAAGTCAGCAGTGCCTTATGGCAGTTTTGGGTCTGTGGGCTGGTCATGCTCTTCTGCACACAGTAAACTCTTGCTTTTTGTTCTGTTCTTGGCCGATGGGGGGCAATAAATGATTTATAACCATGGCAACAGTTGCTGTGGGAAACTGGCATCAACATGAATCTTTTTCATGTCCCCATCAATGAATGTATTTAAAATCTTCCCACTCTGAATTGGGCAAGACTGTTTGTGACACTCCAAAAATTTGGTTTGGAGGTAAGTCAGGTTGAGATGGTATTGCATGCAGGGTCTAGCACTGGCAACCCTTTGTGCTGTCTCCAGTGGAGATGCTTCTTGTCTGATCCAAGATTTTCTTTTGTCCCTTGGCTGCATACGAGTTCTGTGGGAATGGGGCTGGTGATGAGAGGTTGGTAGCAGCTGCTTTTGCTGGAGTTACTCTGCGGTGTTCGAGAGATTTCTGTAATGCAAAGAAGCTCCTGGTGTGAGCTCTTGGAGGGAATGAGTGCTGGTGTTTGTGGTCGCTGTTTCATCTGACTGGTTTCCTGCCTTCGCTAAGGGGAAGGGAGCTTGGATGCTCCTGAACTTGCAGTTCTTGGAAGTTTAAGCTTTCATTTAGGCTCTTAAGGCAAGGTGTATAGCCGCAATGCATTTGGTAGGTATGATGAAAGGCTCTGACGATAGATATTTAGTAGTAAGGAAAACTAGTAGGATGAAGGGAAGGCTTTACCTTTCTACAAAATGAATCTTGAACTGGCAATTCCATTTTTGTTGTCTTCTCAATTATAATGAAATATTTTCTCATCTGTAGGAAGGGTTTTTCCTCTATCTGTAAATAAATTTCTGCTTAACTAAGGTCATTCTACAGAAAACTTCCTTTATACAGAGCTGAAAGATACTGTTGCTGCAGGGAGTTTGTGCAGGAGTCTGCTGCTATCAATCCTGGAGCTTGCTTGGTGCTTTCTGGACGTTGCTTCTCCCCCTGTCTTAAAGTGCCATAAATTCTGACTCAGTTTGCTAATTTTTGCTAATTCTGTATGATTTTTCTAACATTTACTTG